GTGCCTTGTGAAACATCTTTATTATAATAATATTTTACCTAATCTAATCTTAACTAACCTAAAAGGATCCCTATTTTTACATTTTAGTTACTTTTATAATTATACATAAAGAGTAAACATGAAAAACAAAAATAAAATGTTTCACCAATCTTCTTTTTTCTTGCTGTCAATTGTCGAAGGGAGTTAACCATAATTATTATATACTGATGATAGTAAAGCACTTAATAATTTTTATTTAATTAAATAATGCACCAAACAATATAGACTAGTAACATGCAAAAAGTAGACATATTTCCTCACCTCTCAAAATGTTTCTGGCTTTCTAACTATGCAACAAGAGCCGTTACAAGCTCATCTAAGCTAGTCATTAGCTTTCTCACAGGAACGATGTGAGTACTCTGAGTGAAATTGATGTTTAAGCATTCAGAACCTAACGTTATACAATATGCCATTTAATAGAGGAAAACCTTGACTTTCTGTTGGTTATAGATAATATATAATTAAACATAATAGAGAACTATTAACAAATCCTGAAAGAGAGGATGTGATAGATGGGTGTGGCAGGAGGGGTTTGATTTTCCAATCGATAACTCTGTAACCAAACAAAATTGAAGACTATAGAAAATATGGTTTGTCGGAGCAATGACAATTTTATAGTGAGTAACTTGCATTTAATTTCATACTTTTCCAAGGATAAAATAGAGGAAACAAGATGCCTAGAAAAAATGTGTCATGTATGTCAAACTGGGAAATTCAGGATTTTTTTCAATATTGCCTTGTATAATTAAGAACTTAAACTTATATGTTATTAAAATATGGATTATTAGCTAAGATTTTATGCTATTTTAATTGGTATAACATAAAGAAAAAAGTATTTTAATAAAATTTTGAATGTAAAACACTAAAACCTTGTGTCATGTGCAGTAAAGGATATCCGTGGTGATAGGGTTAAGAGCAAAAACAAAAACATTGATAAAATCTTTATTAGATATTTCAGCTACCTTGATTTAGTAATATTTCACAAACCCTGATGATGGTAACTGTGTTACCAAAACTGAAATAACTAATCAAGATTTTATTTTTCATTGTGCGAAAAAACATTGCTTTATTGTTTTTTACTTTTAATGTAAAAATTGTCTCATTTTATACTGTATAATTTGTGTTGAACTAAGTGTTTCTCTACATGTAATGTTCAGAATTGTGACATGTACACTGACGTATTAAAACATCTTGTGCAACTAAAACTAATATAAAAGAATAGCAACTATATGATAATTAAAAGTAAACATAGATTTATCTAGGTAAAAGACTTACTGTTCTTAACTGTTTCAGTGGGATGAATGTTATTGTTCTGTGACAAAATTGCCAGGAATCTTGAATTTTTATGGTAATATTTTGAGTTGGAAGTTTTATCATACAAATATGATAAATAAAACTGTTCAAATAACATAGTACAGCAATTTTGTTAGATTGGACCTTCCATGTTTTCTTCAAACAAAAATAATTTAATTAGAAAAGTTTTTATGCTTTTAGTTTAATTAATTGATGGCAAAATAAGATTCTTCAAAGAAATGTAAAACTTTGCACACTTAATCATATCTTGAAGTATTATCCTCTCTAGACCATTGAATCAAGAAGTGTTGTCTTTATGTTAGTCAGAACACAAAGACATGGACTGTGCTTAAACAAGATCAGGTTTTAAGGATTTTTTGTTTCCTTTATATCCAGAGAAGCATTGTTTTAATCAGCCTTTTTTTTTTACCTAGGATTTTATAAGATTATTCCAACAATTATTTATTGATGCTTAAAGTAACAGTGGATTTACATACAGAATTTCTGGGTTTAGAAAATATTTTGCAGCTACCAAAATTCAGAACAAATACCCTTTCTACATGAAACTGCAAAAATACTGGGGTTCAGAATGAGAAGGTTTTCATAACAATGTATCAAACTTCTAACCCAAATGTTTTTGAACTTGATTTCTCATCACCCCAACTACATTAAATTGGGAAGTGGAATTTGTTGAACTACACTGTAGGAACTTTATCTCTAGTTCTTCTAAATCAAGGATTTGATCTCTCCTGGTATTAAGTGATTATCTACAAAATTATTTTATCAACATTTTGAATGCTAGTGACATTAAAATTAAACACACTAAATAATATATCACCACATTAATCCCCAATACAGAAAAGACTACTGTGTGCATCACTCAATGTCAGGCAAAAGGAAACATTTTGGATGCAAATGAAAATGTTTCAAAAATATCAGAACTTCCTATTACTTTAGTTGAAGGACCAAATCAAACTTAAAAATATATTTGTGTATTCTACTTTTATCTCAAGTTTATTGTTTTGGAAGAATAGTCAGAGCTATAAATACTACTATGTAGGCAGGCTTCCATGAAAATATCTTTTGAAATTCCTGACCTTAGTGTTTTTGAACTTGATATGTCAGCACCATATCCACATAAAATAGGGAGTAGCTCTATAACAATGTCCTGTATAAGCCTACCATGCATTTTCTACCTTTTTATTTTAATATTCAATTTTTCATAATTAATTATTCTGGTATGTGCAGCTTTCATATAACACATAGTAAAGAAAGTTGTCAAGTTAATTTAATAATATCTCCTTTTGTCATTCTCTTGAGGTAACATCCATTAAAAGGTATAACATTCGTACAGGGATGTATTGCTAGGCTTCAATGATAAAAACCACAAAATGTGCATGATCTCACTGTATGATGTGTGGGTAACACCGTCTTCTCATTTACCCTTAAAATCTCACAACCATGCACATTAACAAGATTCAGCACTGTTTCTGCTGATATTCACAACAGCAGTTGTAACTGCAAGATTGCACTTGCTAAATGGCATTTCAGACTATTTACTTAGTTCATAACACAACTAGAATAAAGATTTGTTTTAAACATCATCAAAACATTGTAAACTATCCTGCCTTTGTTTTTACATGTGAGTAGCAATACTGTGAGAAAGGATTTCAATTTAAACACTTGGTGGGTCAGTGATAAGTTTACGGAGTTACAACTCAAAAATCTGAGGTTTGTGTCCCCAAGGTGGACAGAGTTCAGATTATCCATTGTGTAGCTTTGTGCTAAAACAAATTTTTATTTAATTGTGGTTAGAGCATGTGATAATTGTAGATTATCTGCTTCCTATAGCTTTTATTAATGTGGTTTATCAGGTTTATATTTCATTAAATTGAAAACAAAACTAATAAGCAAACATATTATTGTTTTCCAGTAAATAAGTTAAAAGCAACATAAACAAGTTTGTACTATTTTCATTCTGAATAATTTTTAGCAAAACATCTGTATA